TATGACTAAGTAGCGAAATCAAGGTCACTTGAATTGCCATTCGTAAATTTACAATCTAACAGTGGATTTCTAAAAATCTGAATATAGAATTGCTCTATAAAATTTATAATCCTTATTTTTTTTATTGAAGGAAATGTCTAACACTCAAATCGACTAGTCATTCTAAAATAAAAAGAGTCTTATATTATTCAATGATAATAAAATTTTTGAGCGAATTCGTATTATCTTTCCTAGGATGATGTACCTAAAAAAGGAGGTAAACGCAAAAGTATCTTTAAATTGAGATTTTAAAAATACAAATCTGGCTCACTTCGGGTAGGTTAATGTCGCTCAGCCTGGTAGGACTTAATGACAAGCTAAATCTAAGCTTAATAACAAGCTCTAATAAAAATTCATCGCATTTAAATGATAGGCCAGTAATGACTTAAGACATCGTCTAGACTTTATCTTGTTTGATTTTTTATATGGCATCTGCTAAATAAGTGTAGAATCGTAGATAAGTTCTGTGTCAGGTCTTGAATTTCTAACGCGATTCCTTAAAGATGGACAAAATTTACCCAGCTCTTATTCCTTTGATTTACGTTTGGCAATTTTCGATCTTGATTCCCAGAATATGCTATTTTTAGCAATAAATAATGATCGCTTTTCTTGCAAATTTTAGCATAAACAGAAAGCAAATATCACAACTTATTGCGTATAGCGATATTACATCTAAAGTGTTAGCTATTTTTATGATTTTAGGAAGCTGCAAGTGCACTTAGATTCAAGTGTTGTTGGTATCACGAAAAAATCCATGCTTAATAATAGTCAATATATCTCAAATACGATGACAAAGATTACATTACAATCTGCATTTAAATAATTGGCCAAATGGCCAAAAATATATTCATAAATCTTCCCAATGGAAGTAAATGTTGTGAATGGACATAACAGGCGACATATACTTAGTTCTAAATAAATACTTTTTCTCTAAAAGAGTTAAATTTAATTTAACCTGGCATAGCTTAGTCAATAAATATTCCAATGATCTTAAATAAAAGTAAATAATGAGTAATAAGCTGTAATGAAGAGCGGCCATACTGAGGGCCACACCATCTTGGTCTTCATATTTTCAAATAAGCAATAATGTTAAATAAGTTAAAAAACATATAGCAAATATAATATTTGGAATTATGTTTCGATTATTTAACATATCAATGATACTAAAAGGCAGGAAGTTTTAGAAGTATTGATTTGATTGTTCAAATGCAAATAAAAACGCCGACGTGTTTGAATTAAACCAAGCACAGAGCCCCAAAGAATGAGCTGCAATGTGGATAGGGACGAGAAAAAGGATAATTGGGTGATGAGTCTGAAGCCTAGGGAGAGGAAGATGCCAAGGCATCACAGACTCTAAAGCCTTAAATATGAAGTAAACGGGGACAGGAATTTAAGAATGATAGGTGGCCAGATGTCTGGTCAGACAGTGATTTTAATGTGTAGTAGTGACCAGTTTGAGAGCAGTCTCCTTTAACTTTATATTGTTGGTATGAGCTCGTCTTCGCAAATTTTTCAGAACCGCAGGGAAGCATAGTGCAATGTACTTAGTCCTGTGTCCTCGGCCATATTATTTCTTGATGTCCAAAAACAGACCATTGACTTAGTACATTCCCAAGCGTTTCGCCGGCATCGTCAGTGAAAGGAGCCATCATCAGAACAAAGTCAAAACTAATCAAAGTGACAAGTGAAGGCAATCCCCTTGAACTATTTTCTGTTCAACTATTGTGACATCACTCCTCGCCTCTACTTTTATTCTGCCTTCTAGTGCTGCATCTTTTACTCTTGGCGCCACCTCCACAAGCTCACCTACCTATTTCCATGATTCTGTGCTCTCGTTCCTTCCAATGTGGCCTAAAAATGTGCCGCTGCAAGTTGATCCTAATACCCAAGTTTTTTAGCTTCTTATCATGAAACCTCCTAGTCATTTTATAGATTGCTTCATTCAAACCGTCAGCGATGTATTGTAACTTAAGGAAGTCTTTCTTATTTAGAATCTGAGATAGAGTTATACGATTTTTTAAGTTGCATGATCTGATTATAACGAAGATCAAACAAAGACAAACCATTTCTCAAATTCTAAATAAGAAAAATTTCTTAAGTTAAAAGGAATGGCTGAAAGTTTGGGTGAAGCAATCTATACGATGACTAGGAGGGTTCAATATAAGAAACTAAAAGACGTGTGTATTAGGATCCGTTTGAGGGACCTTGTATCTGAGGCTATGATTATTAAGGATAGGTCCAATGAACTTTGCAAGGATAAAATAATTAATTTATCCAGTACAGAGCAGAAGGATGGTGAGAAACTTCTACAGGAAAGAGGATTAAATTTTGCTCTACCGAATTAAGTAAACTATTCTCTGGAAATACTGGTTGAGCTTATCAGATGGATGACCTGAACGAATCAAGAATATTTTTCGTATGTAAGTAGAGTTTCGAGATGACCAGTAATTCAGCAAGATGAGATGTATTCATCCTATTTCGTTTAAGATGTTGAAGGACTGGTAGTAGAATTTTTCCTAAATGATATGAGTAGAGCTGACGTTTCCATTGAATTTCACATAGCTTTGTTTTCCCAAAAGTTGTTCTCATCCAGAGTGGACTGAAGTTTCGACCTCGCGTAGGTCTTATCAACCCCTCCAGCGGGAGTTGAACTGTGACAGTGCAGAATGTGAGCTTGACATGTTAACTACTAGGCTACATTGCCACGAGTGCCTTTGGGTCACAAGACAGGTGTGAATACCAAGCAAGGCTATGTGAAATTCAATGGAAGTGTCAACTCTACTCATATCATTGTAGGAAAATTCTACTACCAGTCCTTCATCACCTTAAGCGAAATAGGGTGAATACATCTAAAATCAAGAATAGTATAGAGTTTGAGGTGATTCTTCACTTTGACCAGGTAGTTAAGCCAAAGAAGTCATTTGTTCTAAGCAGAGTAGCTAGATATTTAGTTCGTAATAATCTAATTGTTATGAAAGCCGACAAGGACAGAGCAGTGGCAACCTTGGATAGGTCAAGTTATTTAGAGAAAATGGTTGTGCATTTAAATGGCACTGACACATATAAACTTTTAGAGAAAGATCCTGCAGAAGGACTTAAAACCAAGATGAGAGATGCTTTGAAGGTATGTGGAAGTAGTGGTGAAATAGAAAAGTGGATAATGAATTTACTACTTCAAAGGGCTGCTAGGGCACCCAATGCCCTAGAGAGAGACGTCTTGTCTCTTTGACGAGTTGAAATATGGTGCTACGAATGGCGAGACTCACTGACGATGCCGACTACGATGCCGGCGAGACGTCTGGGAATGTATCATGTACACGGTCCAACTCTGGAAATAATGATGCATACAATGGACTCTGGACAAGGTGTGTTCCTCTAAGTCTTCCTACCAATATGATAGAGTTGCGAAAACAAGGTCAAACAACTTCTATGAAATAATTTTGTTTAAACCATCTTTAAATGAAATAAATAATAATCATAACACGCAGATTGAAAATTTAAATATTTTATCGTAAAACTATGGCAGTATCCGGACAAGATGCGTCAATATAGATCCCCCTGACAAAATGACCAAGTTGCGAAAACGAGGTCAGACCACTTCCGAAGATTGAAAAAACCGACTAAAACATTATTATGTTATGCTACATTATATATTCTGCTACAAACGTATTATAAGTTTCATCAAAATTAAGTTTGTCAAACAATAGGGCATTGTATCTGAATTATTGAAGTCAAATTTATATTCCAAGAAGCACTACACGTTTGCTTGACAATATAGAGATCTTGATCTGGCAAAATGAATTAAATTTCTAGGCAAAAACCGACAAACTAACCTGACAAGTGGATGAAGAGCGAAGTAGAAGAATAGGGGCGCCAACATAATCCATTCGCAACAACTTCTCGAACTGATTAGAAAGCGATGCAGTCGCAGGACTAGAACCCGAAATCAACTGATTACTTAGGCGAGACCAGTCAATGAGATCTGAGGCATAGGTGAGCCAGAGATGGTGTAATCGTTTGACCATCCTGATTGAGAAGAAAGGAGGCTGAGATCGCTTTTTAGCACGTCGCTTAGCACGAACAACCGAGCTAATACAAGTAAAAATGCATATAATAGTACTAGCAAATAAATTGTATTTTAATTAATTAAACGAGATTAAAAACTTTAAAAAATATCGTAAGCAAGGTTCCAAACTTATTTCATTATCAGATAGATTTTAAGAAATGTTCTGAATGGTCAAAATAAAAATATAAAATATCAGTCAAAATGGTGTTGCCTAAAGATTGCTTAGGATCTTTTTCGGAGAGAGGGTTTTAACTCGTATTCACAATGATATTTCAAAGAGCGTACCGCGCAACGTATGCCTAGTATATATAAAGTATATTCACACTATTTCGTTTGAGGAAGTTAAATTTTTTCCCACAATGATATGAGGATACCTTGCATTTTTATTAAATTTAACATAGCCTTGCTTTCCATAAAGGTATTCTCATCCAGGGTGGATGGTATTTTCGGCCTCGCGTAGGCCTTAGCAGCACCCTCAGCGAGCTCGAACCATGGCAGTGTAGCGTATAATCTCTATAGGTTAACCACTACGCCACATTGTAACAAGTGCCCTTGGATCACAGGACAGATGTAAGGCTTAGGGAAGGCAAGGCATTTTCCTATATCACATTCTCTGGTGGGTCTGCCGATGAAGTTATATTTGTTATAGCAATCAACTGCAATACTTATTTCTCGTTTATAAGTAGGTTTTCGAGACTACTAGTTGATCATATAGGCCCATGGTAGTCTCAAAAACCCACTTATAAATGTCCCCTATAATATTTGGAATGTACAACCTTATCCAAAATACCTCCGAAAAAATAAATAGGAAAATTAATGTAACTTGATGCCATATGCTTAGATGCATGTACAATTCAAAGAATGCTCTAAAATAACAGGCTAGTATAAAAATATTCCCTTAAATAAATAAATAAAAATATTGTTGTGATAAAGATATGCCAAAATCAGACTAGGGTATAGCTACCCACAGTCTTTATAAATAAAATTCGTTACACAGGTTTGATGTTGTTTATTAGCAGCATTTATGCCATTATGTAAATAGGCAAGAAGATTCGGAAGTGACACTGAACCATCGAAAAAGCCATAGTAAAGTAAATAGCAGACAGCGAATTGCAAAGGAGATAATTGCCGAATTGCAAAGCTGTATTATAGGCAACTGGGTATAGGGCAATTTAGCAGTAAAGCCTATTTATCAAGTTAAAAGGGCACATTGAGATAATGAAAATTATCAAAGCTGAGTTAAGTATATGAAGACTTCAGTTTAAAGATTAAGCTGCTTGCAAATAAGCATTCGAAAAACCAACATGCGAGATAAAAAATATAAGAAGAAAAGTTGGGTTCCAGGAAATCGCTTGATTCATAATTGTTGAGTTTACTTGCATTATGAGTTAAAGTGTTTGGTGAAGAGATTCGAAGATTGATTCCACCAGAAGACGACGGCGGATTCCTCTTGACCAGCTATCGATTGGCTTTACTGGAACATTCATGGTGACGCTGCTAACGAGGCACTCTCATTCGATTCTGGTGAACACGTGCTAAGCTTTCGTCCGTCATATGACGAACATCATCAGAGTAAGGTATCATCCTTATGACCAAATTCAAGCTAACGAGTTAAGAAAACTTACCAGCACACCCCTAAAAACTG